TACATCATGACAGCGACGGGGCGAGGCTGGGTGGAAGCTCTTGCGGCGGTGAGGGCACGCAGGCCATGTGCGGGGCCCAACCTGGGCTTTCTGCGGCAGATGGAAGAGTTTGAAAACACAGAACTGTCAGAAGTGAGTAACTTCTCACCGGTCAAGTCCTGTAAAGTTATCATCCTTATGATTTTCATTATATCTAACATTGGTCTAAGTGATTCACAAGTAATGAAGAACACATGTACTGGACATGGTGCGGAATACAAGTGTGCATGTAGAAGACAGCATTCAGTCACAAGCTCGTTGTTGCCATGTAGTCTGACACGGTCTTCATATCTCTTCTTACTGGAAACAATGTGATGTGATGAATCAGTGTGTTTGGCAGCTCTGTCAACACATTATGCTTACATTCAGAAAACTGGATGCTGTGTTCCATGATGGCGCCTCAGTCAATCCTCACTGGATGCATATGCCAAAGAAGTGTTTCGGGCTTCTGTGAGCTGTTGTCCTACTCCAGCCGACATGCTGGTGACTTGCTCTGGTGGAACTGGACGACTTCTTTCTGACTCTGCACACATGAATGACGTAAAGTTAACTTTTTGATAAGACACTTAAAATTTTTCATTGAACCAAATCAGGACCCCGGGAACAACACCAAGGTGAGAGATGTTTTTGGCCCAGTAGCATTGCAGCTTCTAGGATCATCAGGTGATGATGACTACACCTGCACCCCCATAACAATTTTTTGGGGAAAAAAAAAGCAAAACAGTCAGTGCATTTTCTTGTGCATCACAAAATCACAAACACTCTGAATGTATTATTATCAGAATTTGATGTCATGGTCAGGGGAAGTCTTGGTGGAAGGGTAGCAAAGCACGTAGCATTGGAGGGGGATACAAACTGTTTTATTATGGTGTGGACAGGAAGAGAAATCGGGTAGGAGTGATCCTGAAGGAGGAGCTCGTGAGGAATGTTTTAGAGGTGAAAAGAGTGTCAGACAGGGTGATCAGTTTGAAGTTGGAAATTGAAGGGGTAATGTTGAATGTAGTCAGTGGTTATGCTCCACAAGTAGGGTGTGAGTTAGAAGAGAAGGAGAGATTCTGGAGTGAGTTAGATGAGGTGATGGAGAGTATTCCCAGAGGGGAGAGAGTGGTGATTGGGGCAGACTTCAACGGACACGTTGGTGAGGGGAACAAAGGGGATGAGGAGGTGATGGGCAGGTTTGGTGTTAAGGGAAGGAATCTAGAAGGACAGATGGTGGTGGACTTTGCTAAGACGATGGAAATGGCTTTAGTTAACACCTACTTCCAGAAGAGGGAGGAACATAGAGTTACATATAAGAGTGGAGGCAGGAGTATGTAGGTAGACTATATTCTATGTAGACGAGGCAATCTGAGAGAGATTAGTGACTGTAAAGTGGTGGTAGGAGAAAGTGTAGCCAGACAACATCGAATGGTGATGTGTAGGATGACTCTGGTGGTCAGGAAGAAGAGGAGAGGAAAGACAGAAAAGAAGACCAAGTGGTGGAAGTTGCA